CTTTCACTCCTGCAGCATTTGAATGTGCCTAAACTGAGAGTATGTACTGTCTTACACACAAACAATGTGCACACTCACACACACACACACACACACACATACACACACACACACACACACACACACAAAGCTTTTGTATTGAGGTAGAGGCTGCTTGGTGAAATGAATAACAGATCACAACAGGTGAAAAAATAAGTGTCACCCAAATACGCGTGCTTTAATAATGTGTGTATTTTCAAGAAATAATGTGCTGAAGCTCACCCACAATAGTTCATTTTTTGAGTTCCTTGAGTTCTATGAATTTCATGAGTTCTTTGAATGCCTGTAATACAACTTTGTTCCTCAGGACTGAAAAATCTAAGTTCTCACTAGCTGAAGCTCCTTTCTTTAAGTGATGCTTTCTTAAACCACTGTTTCAGGTATCACTGTTGGCAAAATAGGTAGGGTCATTATAAAGGACTGCGATAGAACTTCAAGTGTTTATTGCCATCTGGAAGAAATTTTGTGGCAACTTTACATACAGCATTCAAATGATCTTTAGGAGGTCCCTTTCCTTCCTAACAACACCCTGGGGTGCATAATCCATGCTTTATAAACTCAGAACAGATGTCAGATAATCTGAAGCAGCTGTAGAGAGCCAGTTCAATATTTGTGACCAGTCCTGGGTCTTCTGCTTAAAAAAAAAATATGTATGTGAAGCTACCTATGAACAAATAGGCAAATTGACCAATATATTTACACATTCACATAGGCATATAATAACACCAAGGTCATGGATTCAATCTCCTTATGGGCCATTCACTCAAGAATTGGACATGATGATTCTTCTGGGTCCCCTTCAACTCAGACTATTCTGTGAAACTCTGTGAAGCTCTGTATATATGCATAATTATTATATATACATTACTTATGTGTGTATGTTGGAACCCTGGACAAGAGAATTTCATGCTTTCTGTGCTGTCAAGCATAGATCCACAAGAAAACACTGTATTTGACCTGAAGCTATGTAAAAAGCTTCCAAAATCAATCAACAGAACTGAAACTGTGTGTTTTTTATGCAGAAGTTATATAACTTGGTAGAAAATTTGGACTTTAAGCTTTTAGGATATAGTAATACTTATGCAACAAGATGGAAGTTTTAGAGTGTTAACCTGCCTTGTTTTTTCACCTTCTTCATGGTTAGCATTTAATAAAATCTTCATGGATTTTAGTAAGATTGTGTGATTGGACAGAAAAGTAAGCAGTGTGGAACATGAGTGTTTGGTTATTGGGTTAAAAGTAAAAATAAATTAGTTGGCATTTGATAATTGGATAGTTTATGCTTAAAAGTTCTTGTGAACAGAGCCTGAGGTTGCCATTTGTAGCTTGCTAGGTTAGTGTGTAAAAGCCCATACTATCTGTAAAAATGTAATATAGGTAAGGTAAAATAAACATCCTAAGTCCAAACACAAAAAGCATCTCTCTACTCATCAGTCACGATCCTGGGAAAAAGAACCCAGAGACTTCTACATGTATGTAATATTTATCCTTAATGAAAACTTAACTTTGAGTGTAGAAAGAACAGAAAAGGGCTATTATTTTTCTCATTTAAATCTTGAAAATAAAGAAAACTCCACAGAGAAAATTTTGTTACTGTAAAATAACACAGAATACACTGCAAGTAATATCTGTGCAATCTCCATCATTCTGTATCTTCTAGATACACTAGACAAAAATCTCAAAGGAAAGACAAACATCTCACTGATCTCCCTTGAGCTCGGACTAGATTCTCCCTTGAAAATGAACTAGAACTTTAAAATTGATGGCAAAACTGTTAAAGGCAACTGCTCCACCAAGAATATGGAAGCTTCTGAAATTATTTTTAATTATTTTAGTTATTCTGATATAGGTCTTTAGAAATTATGCAGATTACCTGTTCACTTAGTCAAAAAAACTAATGCAGTCTCATTCTCTGGAGTCTTCGCAAGAGCAAATTGCATGAATACACTAGCTGCTGTTATTTTCCTTTCAGGTATTTGCCTGCAATAAAAATAAGAAAATCGAAGTTGTAATTCTAATCTTCTGCAGAAGATAATTTGCCAATACTACAAAGTGGTAGAAACTACTAATACTTCACACAAAGCATGTTGTTCTTAGTACCACCTATTGTTTTTCTGCATTTGTGAAATTGGCAAACCCTTGCTTGAAGTACAAGAGAAAAAAGAGTTTTTCTAACATACAGTGAATTCATCATTACAATGTTCTATAGTACCAAAAATACGAGCAAAGTCCTAGAGTCTGGGTTTGGGTTTTTTCATTCTGTTATTCAAATGTTTCTAATGAGTATTTGTGATTTCATGCTGTGCTGGTTTCAGCTCAAGCAGGGTTAATTTCTTCTCAGTAGCTGTTCTACTGCTGCGTTTTGGGTACAGAATGAGAATGGTGTTGGTAATGTACTAATGGTTGTGGTTTTTGCTAAGTTGTGTTTATCCTAAATTAAGGACCTTTTTCTTTGGCTCATGCTCCCCCAGTGAGGAGGTGAGCAAAAGAAGCTAAGAGGGAATACAGCTGAGACAAGTGACCTGAACCAAGCAGAAGGACCACAACACAGAACATCATGCCCAGTATATAAACTGGGGGGAGTTACCTGGAAGGGGCTGGTCTGGATACAGGAAGGAAGGTCTGGCATCAGTCAGTAAGTGGTGAGCTACTGTACTGTGGATCACTTGGTTTTATCCCTTTTTATTATCATTATTTTAATTGTTTACCATTATTTTACTTTAAATTATTTAGTATTTATTCAATAGTTACTTTTCAATTTCTAAACTTGTCTTATCTCAACATACAAGTTTTATATTCATTTTTCTCCCCATTCCAGTGAGGCGAGGATGGAAGAGAGGCAAAGCTGAGCAGGTGTCTGTGTGATGCTTCATCTCCAGATGGGTTTAAAACCATGGCACATGTTCACTGAGATGTTCCAGATTCTCTCTGCTTATCTCCTATTAAACGTCTTCAATGTTAAAAAATGTATGCATATTTTATCATATGATCTCACTAATCAGAAACAGGCTTTCAAAGGGCTTTTTTCTCTTTTTGTTTTCCTTATGAACACTAGAAGTCTATAACTACAGAATTTAATTCTCTGCAGCATAAGGAAAATATCATTTGGTTAGGTTTTTACCAGATATAAAGTATGCATATACAAGTTTGCTATCTTTCAGACTTTACTGAATGCAAGGAAGTCATCCAAACAACAGAAAATAAGTACCTATTCCATCTACAATTCATATTAGTATTTTCCCACTGCATTCTTATTGGGCTAATTTGATTGCCTGCATCTCCTTCTGATTTCATGACAACAGTTTTGATTTACTCTTAAAAAATAGCTGGCCTTTTTAGAGCAAGTGTCTCACAGTCAGATTACCTTCTGGTTACATTGAACAGGTCTGAATTTAGTATCTCCTCAAAATACTGAAAGATATTCTAGGTTTATTTAGTTTATAAAACAGAGGATCCTAATTATAACTAACCCTTTTGTAGTTAGTCTTATATAAATTTTCATTAAGTCTTACAGAGATAGATATTTCCTTCTTAATAACTTTCTGATTAAGTTTCTTTATTTGACAGACTAATCTTTAATTGGCATCTATTAAATTGAAATGTCCTTTTCTGTTGGATCTTTATTTTATCAGTAGCAGGATGAGGGCTGCAGATAGGCACTCTCTGAGCTTTTTATTCAGCGTCAGCCTCATCAATACAAGGTGAGACACGATAGATATTGAAAACTCATACCATAACAGCAGCAGCTAAATTTCCTTGGTTACAATGCCCTTTTAAAAACTTTCTAGCCAATAGCGTAATGTCAAAATCTTGCAAGTATTTGCTTAAGCCAGTCATTAAAACTACATGTTCATCTTGCCTCCAAGAATGCCTGCTTGTCATAGCTTAAAAACAATGGATAGAGCTTCATTGTTGAACTTATATTTTTCTATTATCTTGCTTACTATATTTTCTAAGGCCTATCTCTACACAGCTCAAAAACACAGCCTTATGGTTTCCTATCTTTGCATATCTGTATTCTTGCATCTGTTCTGAAATCTACATTCACATAGCTTCTGAGCGTTTTTTACCTTTTCTATTTCCCACACGTCTCCTCAATAGTTCTTACACCAGTTTCCTAAAACAGTAGGTTTTATTGAAAACCCATCTAGCAGTACTGCAGTATGCCTAATAAACCCTTGCTACTCAAGACAGGCATCCTCCATATTTCACGAGAACACAAGGGAATACAATAGCCATTCTGAGGGTTTTCTGTGGGTTTTCACACCTGACAATAGCAATGTGGTACTAGAGGTATGGCATAGGAGAGTACATAGAAGAGTATATGAGTAGACACTTTCATACAGAATCATTCGCAACACCAATATGTTGGCTTGTTGCTGCTGTTGATTGCTCCCTCACTATGCCAACTATTTCTGCCAAAGAATACCCAGTTTTTGTCAAAAACATTTCACCATCACCTCATCCGGATGTTCTTTTACTGAAGAGTAGTCAGGAGTTTCACTTTCAGAAGTAATTTTTATTGAATGTGCCTTTAGGTTGTTTGACGCTGCCCACCACAGCCTTCCACGCCTTGGCTAGCTCTCACTCCGGCCGCTGGCAACGCCAGGAGTGGGGAACAGTCTGGGAGTGAGTTTTCCCCAGACAGAAGCTTCAGAGCCCTCAGCCGTTAGGCTCTGCGGTCTCGCGCGCCGTGGGTCTCGGCAAAGGAACGGAGGAGGCTCAGAGCCCCAAATACTTCCCAGGAACCAGGTTTATTGCAGGACAAGGGAGCGGTGACAGGGGAAAGGACTGGAAACGTGAAGGACGAGACAGACTGAGCCCCGAGCACCTCCGTGCGTTGGGTTTTAAACATAGGCAGGTACAACTCAAGAACCAATCAGGGCGTAATGGGGGAGGAGTCGAGGGAGGGGTTTACAGTACTAAAGGCCAATAAGGGACTCACATGGGTGCATGGAGGGTGCTGGAACAAAGGGAAGGGTTTACAGTGATAGACAGGGGCTAGGGGCAGGCTGGGGATGACAGACAGGGAAGGTTCAGGAACAAGGGGAGGGGTTTACAAAATTGACAAAAGGAGGCAAAACCATTACAAAACCATGGGGGGGAATAACAGGAACAAATCAATAAATTGTACAAACAAAATCAACAAACAGACTGCAACAGTTGTTCCTGAAGAGCATTTTGGATAGCCATGCTTTCTTCTCCTGCACTCCAATTTCTTCTATCAAAGCAACTGGGTGCTTTTATTAGCTCCTTGATAGACATGCTTTTAGTGTGCTCTAAAGCTTTGCCAGTGGTGAGCGTGTCATCATTCAGAGAAGTGAGTAATACTTCTGAGAGAGACTAGAACAATGTTATTCATATTGCAGTAAAAGGATAATCAGGAAATCTGGTTAGGATTACTTAGATAATTACTTTTTCCAGCACTTGCCTCCCTGAAGGTAATCAGCAGAAACAGCCATCAAGGAAAACACCAACAGATCTTCCTGTCTTGCACTCAGTGACTAATTCCTTGGCTGCTGACATGTTCCTGGAAAGGTAAGAAGAGCCACAAGCATTTTCCTTTCCTTCTCATCCAAACTATACCTTTTAATCAAAAAAATACTATAGTAGCAGTACTCATTGCACATGACAGCAACATCTACCCCCTTGTTCCCATGAGCTTAGTACATAAACGTATAGAATTTGAACCTGGGTATGTCACAACTCAATAAGCATCTGACAGTGAACCTGACATCTTCCAAACACACCTTGTCAGTCCTGTCTAGTCCAGTAACAGGTAATGAGCTAGAAAAAAAAAAAAAACCTTAATAATATAGCATGCCAAATCTGGAATGTTATCTAGTTTCACTGACATGTGAGCACACACCAGTAAACCTATCTTTGTTACTCAAGTTCTGAGTACTGATCTTCGCACAATCCCCACTTCATCTGCTAGACATTCTAGTAAGTACACCACACTCAATTTTACTCACAGCATTTCTGCCACCAGTTTAAACTCAATGACACTCAGCAGCCCCTGAGTTCATCCAGGGACCAATCATTAATATAGTCCTAGCCCTAACTCAGTAAGAGAATTTGGAAGAAGCGATAAATCCAATTCACTGAGTACTGCTGGACCAGACTCTTAACTAAACCCCAACCTCAATAAGAGCTCTAATGGTACCTGGCAGGTCTGATTATAACAGCACAAGATTGGTCAAGTTCAGCTCTAATCTGAGTCACCTGTCTTTTCTTGATAGGCAGTATTTCTAGCTCTTAGCACTTGTTTACCTAAGTTCTAAGCTCTTTAATAATGCTAGCATCATATACAAGGGTATCTCAGCCCATTCAAAATTTTAAAATCCTGTCTATATCCAATATACTTCTTTTGTTCCTTGCTTCTGTATTAATCTTACAGGGATACCTCTACTTGATTGAACTCTATGGCCTTTGTTAGATCTTGTATGAATCTACCTATTGAAAACTGTTGGACCAAGCACAATCCTATTCCCAGTGCTAGGCTCAGAGCTAATAAAGGAAATTCTTCATATCTTTAATTGAAAGGCATTTGATTTCTCTCCAGACAATCCATTACTTCTTTATGGAAGAAGCATACCTCTTTCTCCTTCTTTTCTGCTTAAAGCCTTGTGATTCAATTGCCAGCAGGAAAAGGAATGGTGAAAGGAGGGAAATACAGGCAAGTCTGGAGTGAAGAACAAAAGGAGATTTCTTCTCTCTTCAGCTTCTGTGTCTGTAAACCATAGCTTTTAGTACAGCCCTATATCTGTCTTACACCCCTGAACAGATAATTTACCAGAACATGACCAGAAAAATACACAGGGAAATAAACCATCATATTTTCACAATTTACTCTGCTAGAAAACTCCAAAATTACTGTAATTTAGTGTGATCCTTTAATCTAAACTCTAGCACAAACTCTATCCTTATCCTTAATACACTGCTGGGTTGTACAACAGCCAAACATAAAAATGAATCTGCTGTTATGAGCCCACTTTGGAATTTGATTTTTACTGGAAATCTTAGAATAGATTATCTTCAAATTTATGAAATCTTCTATTTTGAAATCTTGGCTTTAGGTTAGTAAATATGCAGCAAAGCCCTACAGAAGCCCAACTCATAGTCTCTTCTAGAGCCTTAATGGTTAGCATTCTTAATAACTTCGGTAATCAGGCTAAATTTTGTTCTACATAATCTGTTTTATTGAGCCTTAAGTATAAAGTCAGCTCTAACCTATTATCACATCTGCTGTTGGCTAACAGATAGAACCTACAACCCAGATTTGAGAGAAAGTCTTTGCTGTTCTGGTGAGACATCCAGAGGCCAAGAAACAGGATATCAATATCTCATGTGAAAATGGTTACCTTGGTTTACCCGACTGAACTGTGTTGACAGTGTTAGCGACAGTTACATCTTCTACTATAGTAAAGGTGAACCATGACTTTGCACAATGTTCAGTAGTAATAGGGTATAATATTTCCTATTTCAACCATAAAAATACTGTCTGGTATCATGCTATTCTTCCTTTTCAGTTCTGGCTTTATCTGTCATTTTTACAGACATTTTAGAGAGTCTACTAATCCCCAACCATAATCCCAAAATTAAATTAGGTTCATTGGCACTATGTGGAATATCTCGTCTAATTTTTACACTGAGAAACCAAGTACTTCCTGTTCTAAATTTATTTTGTGGCATGCATTTTAATTGTGCTCATACTGTCACACTGAAGAATACACATCTCCAAAACCTAGCACTAGGCAAAGGCTTGATTAGATCAAGTCTCAGAGTAGTGACAGTCTTAATTTTTCCCCTGGGAAACCTAATGACCAATGGCACTTACTTACAGTGACTTACTGTCACTCCAGAGCTTCTCATTTACCAGTCCTTAATCTAGGCTCACATACCTAGTCTCACAGTTCAATCATATGAATTACATGCAAGATGGAAATCTAATCATTTGTGTCTTAAACCTAATTTGAAATCTAATTTCAAATGCTGCATTTGTATCTCTCAGAGTTTCTTGTTTATTAAAATGTAACATAAGCCTGAGACTGTGCTCACTGATGCCCTGTGAAACACCTAGAATCACTTGGTCATTCAGGCTGGAGTAGACCATGAGAGGTCTCTATCTAGACTGCCACCCAAAGCAGAGTCAACGGTGTATTCAAACCATATTGCTAAGAGCTCTATACAGTCTTGAAGCTACCAGGGACATAGATTTCTGTCTCTTTAAGCTGCACAATTTTCCTCCAATTGTGAGTGGTTTTTTCCTTAAGTCCATCCTGAATCTCCCATGTTTCAACTACTGCCTGTTGCCTCTTTCCCTCCCACATGTACCACTGTGAAAGACCTAGTTGTGCCTGCCTGATCCTCCTGTCAGTGACAGAGCTGTAAGTAGGTACCACTGTCATCAGCACTTCTCTTGGATGAACCAGCCCTAGTGCTACAGCCTCTCCCCACAGGACATGAGTTCCAGATCCCACCATTTTGGTAGCCTACACTTGATTGCACATTGTATTCCAGGGATAGTATAACCAGTATAATTTGTACTTGCCAATTGAAGAGCCATATTCACTTTCTCTGAACTGCTAGAATATATTCCTTTTGAGGTAGCCAAGGGTGCTGTTTGCTTACTGCTGGGGTTCACTGCAGGCTCAGTTCTGCCAGCTTCTTCATCAGGATGTGCAGATGCGGAACTTAAAGACATGGTTTAGTGATGGACTTGACAGTGTTAGTTTTGCTGCAAAAACTTAACATGCCCAAGCATGAGTGCAAGAATACTAACTATGGGTCCAGTCGCATCCAAAAGAGTCAGTCAGGAAACTAATAATGTGTTTATTAAATGCAACATATAGAATGCTTTTGGATTGTTGTCAATATGCACAATAACTGCAGAATGACTGTCTTAGTTTGAAAGACAGGTGGAAGGAAGGCAGAAGCATCCCTTGGAAAGGAAAATGTAACCCCTTCCCTCTGAACAATTATAATTTTGAAATCAAGGGGCTCTCAGGCAAAGATGAGAACAGGAATAACAGTTCTTCACTAGTATGTACAAGAAAGCAAACAAGCAACAACAGCTGTGGCGCTGGCCCAAGCCGAGCACAAGGCCAGGCCCAGCCTCCGGGCCGCGGGCGCTCTCCCCTCACTGCAGCTCCGGGCCCGGCCGGCAGGGGCGCTG